AAGAGTTTGAGGTTGCTGTGAGTTGTGTTTACTGAGGGCAATATCAACATAGTAAGACTCTATCTCAAAAAAAAAAATCAAGCAGAGCTTCTGGGAATGAAAAATTCATTCAAAGAAATATAAAAAGCTTTGAAAAGCTTTAAGAATAGGCTAGATCAGGCAGAAGAAAGAATCTCAGAGCTAGAAGACAACACCTTTGAATTTAATAATATAGTTATTCAAAGAGAAAGAACAGAGATAACAGGAACAAAGCCTACAAGAAATCCGGGTTTATGTAAAGAGGCCTAAGGTAGGAACCACAGGCATCCCTGAGGCAGAAGAAGAAAATACACAAGGTACTCTGGGATGAGAGGGGGCCACCCATCAAAGTGGAGCCTCTGGGAGCCAGTGGAGGGGAGGACCCATTCACAACCTGGATTTGGTGGCTTGGCGTCTGTGGCTCAAGTAGATAAGTCGCCAGCCACATACACCTAAGGTGGCAGGTTCGAATCCAGCCTGGGCCCGCCAAACAACGACGGCTGCAACCAAAAAATAGCCGGGCGTTGTGGCCGGCACCTGTGTTCCCAGCTACTTGGGAGGCGGAGGCAGGAAACTCGCTTGAGCCCAGGAGTTGGAGGTTGCTGTGAGCTGTGATGCCACAGCACTCTTACCAGGGGGATAGCTTGAGGCTCTATGTCTTCAAAAAAAAAAAACAACCTGGATTTGGGTGCTTTTGATAGGAAGAGACTCCCTGTAAGGGTGAGGAGGATGAGAGGGACTGGGGGAGGATGGTAGCCAGAGGGACTAGGGCCTAATAGTTCTCAGTCTTCTCAAGTAAAATAATGACCATCTGGGATTTTATATTTGGCAAACTATTTTTCTTATATTGGGGAGAAATAAAGACTTTCCCAGACAAGCAAACACTGACAGAACTTGTCAAGACCAGACATGCCCTGCAAGAAGTACTCAGAACTGAATTATACACATACCAGACAACAGATATCCACCAGGGTAAAACACCCCCAAAATTAAGGCCAGAGTCCAGACACCAGTGGCTCCAGAGGTGAAACAAAGCAATAAAGTTCTACTCAACAGGGTGAAATGCAATCCTGCTTATCAATTCTTTCAATATATGTGAACTCCTTGAATTCCCCACTGAAGAGACAGAGGCTGACTGAAAGGCCAAAAAAATATAAGCCAAGTATCTTCTGTCTCCAGGAAACAACTCCCAAGGACTCATTCAGGCTCAAGGTGAAGGGATGACAACCAATATTCCCTCCAAATGGAACCCAAAAGAAAGCCCATGTAGCCATTCTCCTATTAGATAACACAGACTTCAACAAAAGCAAAGAAAGACAAAGATGGTCATTATATAATGGTGAAGGAAACAATTCAACAAGGAGACATAATAATTCTAAATACCTATGCACCTAACAGAGGTATACCCGGAATCATAAAGCAAATCCTCCTTTATCTAAGCAATATGATAAACAGCAGCATCATAACAGTGGGAGACTTTTAACACCCCACTGACAGAATAAGACAGATCCTCCAAAATAATCAAAGATATGAGGGACTTAAATGGAACACTAGAACAAATGGGCCTAACAAACATTTACAAAACATTCTACCCCCAAACATTGAATTTATGTATTCTTCTCATTAGGTCATGGAACAGTCTCTAAGAGTGATCACATCCTAGGCCACAAAACATGCTTGAACAAATTTAAAAACATAGAAATGTGACTGGTTTTATAACAAAATTTTACAATTCTCCAGTGTCTTAGCTCCCTCATATTCCAAATAAGTTTCTAGTGTTCTGATCAGAACTGAAGCAGGCAGCTAAGTGGCTTTGACTTGACAGGTGTGAAGTAGTGAATGTTATCTCAGCTCCAGGGGCCCAGCAATGGCAGTCTTAGCAAAAGTAGAGAAGAGGCAGAGGGGTCTCAGTACAAATTGCCAAACAGAACTTTATAATTTTCTGTACACTGACACAATTTCTTTGTGTTTTTCCAATAATAGAACCTTCTTATAGCCCTGAGATTACTACAGTGCCTCGCTCTACCAGAATGTCTGGAGAAAGTCAAGATAAGTGATACACCACCACAGATTGTGACCAACAGCCACTGAGCCTGCACGCAAAGCTGAAAGAATGAAAAATATTACCCCCTAGCTCATTAGAATACTAAAATTCCACCCTGGGCATGGATTTGTCCACCATTTTTTGTTCATGGGATATATATACTAGCCTGATTCCTCACTGTGCTTGCATGCCTCGCACTCTATCCCAAACATGCAATGGTTCACTGCCTCTCTGCAGTATTCATTTTCACTTCTATAAAAGCCCCATGACCCTATTAATCAGGGAGGTGGATCTGAGGTAGCCTATGCCTTCTCCTCCCAGTTGATGTGTCCTCTGAAATAAATCCTCTCCTCCTTGGTAAGTCTCATTATCTCAGTAATTGGCTTTCTATGCAGTGACCAACAGTGAGCACCCCATTGTAGGTCTGATAACTGAAAGTAGACCACGAAACTTCTGAGACCAGGCTCGGCGCCTATAGCTCAACCGGC